ATTTTAATATATAATTAATTTAATATATAATTAATTATTCTTAGGTTATTGATGCACCAGAAGTATTGGAAGTATTAGACGAGATTCCATATTTAAAGGATTTTATCAATTCACTTTATAATTGTGAATATGCAAAATTTTTCCAGGCTCTTGGTAAACATAAATTTTTTTTTAACACGTCATAATAATCAAATCAAAAAGTACAAAAATTTAATGTAAATTATACATATTTGAAAACAGCCGATGTTGAACGCAGTCACCTTCGCACATCAAGATATTTATTCTCTCACCTTCGTTATTACGTACGTGAAATGCGAATAATTGCATATGCGCAACTTTTAGAATCGTATCGTTCGCTTACTATGGAAAGCATGGCAAATGCTTTTGGCGTTTCAGAAGACTTTATTGACAGGTAAATATTCAACAAGCAATAGTAGTCATTACAAAATTAATTAGAAAATTAATTAGAAATCTTACTAATAATAATACTAATAATTATGATACTCATAATGAATTATAAAATAGTGATCTTTCCAAATTTATTGCAGCTGGGCGTCTTAATTGTGTTATTGATAAAGTGAATGGGATTGTGGAAACAAATAGACCAGATGCCAAGAATGCACAATATCAGCAAACAATCAAACAAGGAGATATACTGTTGAATCGTATTCAAAAATTGTCAAGAGTTATTAATGTATAGAATGTAAAATAAAATGTTATTCTTTTTGAAATCTTTATTTGAAATTAAATTATCCATTGAACTAGTAAATTTATGAGTGATGCTTGAAAATTGATCTATTACTCAAATTTATATAAATAATAATAGAAATGTCTGAAAATTATTCTACATTAAGAGTATAAAATCATATTACTTTATAACATTGTACAAAATTGTTTAATAAATTTTACTGTAAATCAACGCTCTTACCCAGTTAAAATTGACAAAGATTCGTAGTATTAACTTTAAAGAATTTTAATAATTTCTGCATATGATTTTTTTCCAACCCACTAAAGTCAATTACGTTAATAAAATAAACAAAACATATAACATAAAATTATAAATCACATAAATATAAAATATAAAATATTTTTAATATTTCAAATATTTTTAATATTTCAGCATAAAAATTAAACAAAAATATTAAAATGTATATATTAGCCCCAAATAATTATTTATTACCCATTCATTATCAATTGCAGACTTGCAATCGAATACGACAAAAAAAAAAGGGGTCATTTATCTTAGTATATGTATGAAAGGTTTAAAACCTACATGCACAAAATAGTGTATATATAAAATGTTTCGACAGTAATGAAACATATTCTACGTGACTAAGTACAAGAAAAATAATCTAACAAAATAGCGTGCTGCATATGAAACAAAAATATAAAGCTAAATAATTTTGGTGTAAGTAAAAACAAAAATATATATATATTCACCGCAAAA